TCTTAACACCTTTATGTTTCTTTTTATATGCAGGGCTGTTATAATTCTTGATGATGGTACTATGACAGGTTATTTGTTTTTTAGCAAGTAGCTGGTTTTCAGATTTTATTTTCACATCTGCTTTTCAATAGTTATTCAATGCTAAATGGAACCAAATAAAACTCAGCTTGTATCTTTTATTGATTTTCATGATGGCAAATTCCACCAAGTGAAATCCTTTTAAAACATTCACATTCTCATCTCTACTTTTGTTGAAATGTTTTCTTCTTTTTGATAGGTGATACCTTGGCTGTTTTGTAACTTAAGCAGTTTATCTTTTCTTCATTTTGCTTTAGTCCTCTCCTCTCCATGTAGTATCAATTTTTATTTGCCAGTTTCAAGCAAACAGGTTTTTATGTCTTTCTCAAAGCATGAAAATTTGAGGAATCTTTACAGTCAAATTCCTCAAGGAACCTGTGAAAATTCTTCAATCTGTCATAGAACAAAATATTTAAAATATTATTATTTAAAAAAATGAAAGAGAGAAATAGGTCTTCTTTCAAATTTAAAATACTAGTCTTGATACATTTAGTTCACAGGTCAATAAGCAAATTCAGCTCTGTGTTTCTGAGCATACTGTTGAATTGAAGAGACAATCATTTTAGACAACTGGATAAAAGTTTTGCTTTCAATTTATAAAGTCTTACCTAATAGAAGTGTAACATTTGGGATACCAAATTTCAAAGTCTTATTTGTCATAGACCTCTTTTCTGACTTTCAATTAATCATTTATCTCTCTTTATCTCTTTGTCTGCAGACTGAATATAATGATACTGCCCACTATATAGTACTGCTGTGATGATACATGGAATATTGTGAAAGGTGAAATACCCTGTTAGTTAGTTGCATCTAAAGGAAATAAAGTATGTAGAATTATGTATCTCAAGATGAAAAAGAAGGGATAGGAACATGACTGGAATTTTCTGTATAGTTAGCTTTCACTTAATTTATCTGATTATGGTCTCTTTTTACTAATAGATCTTGAATGAAGGTATTTTTGTTTTCAAGACTTTAACACTTTAATGTGTTTCTAAAACAGCACTAGCATGTTACACAATCATTGAAAAGGTTTAGGATGGAATAAATTACTTCTAACATATACAAGTAATAAAATAAAAAACATTAAGCCCTATGTCGTTGTATGTTTCTTGTTTGTATATGATCAAGAAGATGCTAGAATCATTGAATGGTTTAGGTTGGAAGGAACCCTAAAGATCATCTAGTTCCAACCCACTGCCATGGGCAGGGACACCTTCCACTAGAATATATTACTCACAGCCCCATCCAACCTGGCCTTGAACAATTTCAGGGATGGGGCATCCACAACTTCCCTGGGCAACCTGTTCCAGTGCCTCACCACCTTCCTAGTGAAAAATTTCTTCCTAATATCTAATCTAAATCTACTGTCTTGCAGTTTGAAGCCATTACCCCTCATCATATCACTACATGCCTGTGTGAAAAGTCCCTCCTCTGCTTTATTGTAGGCCCCCTTCAGATACTGCAAGGCTGCTATAAGGTCTCCCTGAACCCTTCTCTTCTCCAGGGTGAACAATCCCATCTCTCTCAGCCTGTTTTCATAGGAGAGGTGTTCCAGCCCTCTGATCATTTTCATGACTCTCCTCTGGACTCATTCCAACAGGGCCACTTCCTTGTGCTGATGACTCCAAGATCAAGGCTAATACTCGATCAAATCTCATCTTGCTCATTTAGTCATTTACCAACTCTGTTGGTTGACTTAAAAATCTAATGAAGTATCCTTTCTAATTTTGATCTCTGAAAGTCTTCACACAAATTAACTTCATTCATTAAAAATGAAGCTAACAAAGAGACACAAGCATAAACTCAGTATAGAGGAACTAACAGTGGTGATAAAATTCTGATCAGAAATACAGTATTTAGATTTTCAGGTTTAAACAATGGGTTTGTACATTGGCAGCAACAACTGCAAGCAGTTTTGATCAACAGAAGATACAAAATAAATAAGTAAGTATATAATCTTAGCACTGCTGGCAAATTGTTTTCACTTTATGAAAGTACAATCAATCATTGTATAGTAGATCACCAGAAACTTCCTCTTTCCTATTCCCAGCATGGCATGATTTGCTGATGTTAAGCACAAGCAAATCTATGCTGAATATGGCACTGCTTCTAAACCATTTCCTATGGTCTTTGAGACTAAATTTATACACATTAATCAGAATAAATATATCAATAAATTCTAATAAATCTTCCATCTTAAAAAGCAAAATATAAATGATGCAAAGTGATGAGTCATTTGGCTAACCCCGCTCATTTTATTGGTTCCATAATTTCACTGCACTGTTTTCAAACAGAATACTTTACGGCTCAGAAAGTGTATCTGTCTCACCACACTTGTCTTTTTCAGTTATATGGTAATCATATTTTCCAATTTAATCACTTGCTGCCCATAAATAAACTAAAATATCTCTTGAAGTTACTTGGATTCTCTATTTTAATCTCCTTCTAAGGAAATATATTTATGGCTGTTAGAAACATATTGTTTACATTTCTGAAGCCTTGTCTTGATTTCCTTGGTGACCACTGATAAGAACTTATTTAATTTCAGCTGATATTTTTTTTCTATGGTGCTTTAGAGAGAGAAAGGTCTCCTGTATTGATCTTTATTGTTTTTTGAATTCATTTCTCTCTTCAATTCAGATAAGAGTTAATTTCTGAAGACCTAAAAGTGGGCCAAATCCTAACTTTCTTTCTGAATGCAAGTTTTGCTCTGACAAACATTTCACTGCTTTTAGTAGTATTCATTCAGAATAAAACCAAGATCTGTAGGTATAAGGGACCTCCACTGAATTTGAAGTGATTGGTGTCATCAGCACTATAGCAAGCTCCTTGAGAAGCGGAGGGACTGCAGGTGATAAAAGGGGAATAGGTGACTTACAGATGATTACCATTTGCATTCTGTGATGACAAACTGATAGAGATGCCATCTTAGTGAAGAATTAAGTAGGAGCACTGCTGAGAGGACTTCATGAGGCACTACTGGCAATGCCGACCGTGCTACAAGACTAGAGAGCAGCAAGGCCCCCTGCTTCTGCCTGTCCTGGAGGATACCTGTGCTGGAGTTTCAGGTTGCTCTGGCTCAAATGAAAGGCTTTGGTAAAACTTAGCTCTTCTTTAATTAACTAATGCCTCTGTGATCTAGCCTGGTTTTGTTTTCCTGCCTCCCTCATACCTGTTTTTCATCTCTGTGGTTTCACTTGCTTCCTGCTGTATTCTGTAACAATGCACTTGTCCTCACGAGGAGCTGTATCAAATTTGGTTGGAGGATCAGCCTGGTTGTTATGTCCCAGAACAAACAGAAACCATGAGTGGCCTCTTATGAAACTCAAATGTTCCTGGTGTCTGGTGCTTAGAAAGAAAGCAAAAGAAATTGTATTATTTTCCTAAGAGATTGAATACAGCAGTTGAATCTGTTCTTTTGGTAATACTTTTATCAGAAAGATGTAACTTACATGTACATCAGAAGCAGTCAGAGATTCTTCTCTTGCCACCCTCAAAAAAAAAAAAAAAAAAAAAAAAAAAAAAAAAATTTCCATTTAATTTTCAATGCAAAATGGTTCTAAATTAAAATGAAAGAAAAGGGATCTATGGAAATGCACAACAGGGCTTGCTGATAACTATGTGTAAGAGTTATATCCTTGCCCCCAAACTCATGAACTCAGGCTTTAAATAGCAAGTACATTTTATCTCATAATTATATGTATGGGCTTTGCAAGAAATTTAAAAATCCATGCTATTTAAAAACATTACAGTGTATTATGCATCCTGTGATGGTAGAAAAATAAAATGATAAAAGCTTATTCCAAATGTGCCAGAAAATCTAACATTTTTGAAATCTTATTAAAAAGCTTATAAAGTTCAGTGTATTTTTTGTCCTATTCTTTTTGAACTATGTTGTGATTCCCTTACAACCTATTCAAAGGCTAATATTCTTCTTAATTACAACTTTAACTGTAAATTAGCTTTTATCTTCTGTCATTTAAGTTGCATTAAAGTAGGAAAAGAATTAACAATGTTTTCTTCCATCTCTTCTAATAATTTTCATATTTGTGCAGATACAAACAGTCTGGTGCAATGAGACGACTTGCCTAATAAGACACGTGAACATGTTTCAAAACTGGTCATAAGTCCTATGGTTTTCTGTTCATATTTTGTTCATTTTCTCTTTCCTCTGTAATTACATCAGAGTACTTAACTAGGAAAGACCTCCTGCCTGCTCCTTTACTTGGCTGTGATAGATAACCCCATCGTATAAGTAATTTTGTGAACAAAATGAAGTTTATCATTAGATTGGAGTTTATCATTATTTTTGCATTCCCTCCTTCCCTCCTTCCTTCCTTCCTTCCCGTTTAAATCCTCTCACTGTATCATTGTCACTGAGATATTGCTAGTGTTTTCTTAATACTCTTTAATTTCTAGGCTAAATAGTAAGCTTAAGAATAGATTTAGTAAAAATTACAATTTTTTTTTATTCCCAATTTGTAATAATATCCTTTTTCTACCAACATTGCCCTTTTATTCCTAGTGTTTATTTTGCACATGATTACAGCTCTTCATCTTCTTCTTTGACCTTTTTTGCTTGCCAAAATTTCTTTCCTGCACCTCTCCCTCTTCTCTCCTAGTGGCTCTGATGCATACCAGATTCATTTTCCAGGATTACATGAATCTGTTTAATAACTGATCAGGGCTTCAGAAGCACAATTCAGATTAAAACAATAGGAATCTACCTCTAAGATCAGTTCATTCACCATTAATTGTCAATTTTATCCAGCAAAGGTAAGTCTCAATGGACCAGCTCTAAGGATGTGGCCAGTTTTTTGGTTTTTTTTGTCTGTAAAAGTAACAGAGAATCCTTGAAAAATTAATATTCTCCTTCTTATCCTTTATGTGATAAAATCCAATATAGTGAAGAAGTGAATCAAGTCTGTGAGCCAGCAGAGTAAGGCTAAGCTATTGACTATGGAAAGTGATTTGAAATATTCCACCAAGCCCTATCAAATGGATGGTAACTGCAAGAGGTAAGCTTACAGCACTTATTCCCAGTGTTGGGTCAATAGGTTAGTCGTGTGGTTAAATTCATTTATCCTCTGGTTATGGAGGCAACCTAAATCACTAAGAGAATTTGAAATGTTTCATTATTCTATAATAAAAATGTTTTAATTCATTAAGATTCTACCATCTATATCTTAAGGACTCTCATTCTTAATGTCTCATTCAGAGTAAAACTTACGTTGTCTCCTTTCCTGTGTGATTCTGGAGGAGCCCTTCTTGAGTATTCCCGTTCCTTTGAGTGGAGCACTCTAATGATAATGCGTTATTTAAAATACATAATGATGTCATACTACTTGATGACTCCTAGTGCTATTGCCTTTTAATACTAATGTTTATTACTTCTACTGTTGGTGACTGGGTGGTGAACGACTCACTGGCTTTTTCACATTTTCTTTTAATTTTGTCTTAGATGCATCTACTCAAATGTGTTTAGCAAAGGAAAAGAAACCCAAAACTCTAGATCTAGAAGCATTTATATGCCAGAAATATCAGCTGACTGAGCAGCTTGTTAACAAATGGAAGACAGTCCAGTACCATTTTCCTTAACACACCCATGTGGCGTTTTACTGACTTAAAAATTCCCACTGTCTTCAACGGCATGTCAGTATGAAAGCTGGGGTTAATAACTACTGCTTAGCTGAAGTAAAGGTTATACTATGGAGTCCTCTGTTAGAAGACTGAAATATCAAGGGATGTAAACAGTCAATTGGCTGCCACATAGGGCTGAATGTTTTACAGTTAGGGTATGGTTTGACATAAATGTCTTTAACCAGTTCCATTTCTGCCATTACAGCTGCCCTGGCACTTCCTGCCCCAGTTATTTCCACTGATACAGCTATCTGCGGGAATGAGATTAGGGAATTGGCTTAATTTAAGAATACTTTGTGTTTCCCTTTTTTCTGCCCCTCCAAATTCTTTTCATGAAATCCAGTCCCTTCTGGAACCCCCTCAAAATCCTATTGGCACAGTTGGAAAGGCTGAGGGAAGGCTGAGGCCAAAAGAAATCCATGTCAAATCACAGCCTTATCTATAACCGTGGTAGGAACAGCAGCTACCATAACTAACTAATAAAATTCTGAGTTACCTAAATTAACCCTTTAGCTTTGGAATATGAAACACCTCACACGTATGATACACAGGGGACAAAAACCAATATGTACTCATTTTATGCATTGTTACTTTCAACTTCTTAACCAAATTAAAACAGAAGTTTTAAAATCCATATGAATGCATCTTTTTTGCACACTTTAGGTGATAAGAGTTCCTGAAAATAAAACTCTTATAAGTTCCAATTAATTTAATTGGCTTTAAACATAAATGTAAGAATTTTTAAGAATTTGACTTTATTCATCCCTTTTTGAAAATTATGACTCATTTTAAAGTTAAGGTTATAGTTTGTTTATTTAGTCCTCTCTTCTAATTGTTTTGTGTTCTTTTTCTTTTTCAGGATAAGCCCATGATAGATAAGGTATGGTACTCTATAAGGAAGCCTGGGCATACAAGTTCTGATTGTAATTAAAAAAAAAAAAAAAGAAAAAAATCTAGGGATGATTATCTCACATTTTGGAAGATTACAAGCCTGTGAAAAATGGAATCCCAGAATTTTATTGTGTACTTTTGTCAAGAAGTTTGTTTTACAAAATAAGAACTATAAAACTACATTTCAACCTTACAGAAAAAGTAGTCAGCTTAATGAAATAGGTACTCTGTGATGTAGAGCAGATCCCCGTCTTTATTGTGCATGACATGATTCTGAATTCACAACATGCTAAAAGTTTTTAAAGTTACATTGTAAATGTTAAAACACCCAAAATATAATTGGAAAGAAATCAAACAATGTTTTATGCAATAAACAATGAGTCCTTCATTTGAGTGGTCTATTAAATGTCAAGAGGCAGCTTGCTTCAGAATTGTAGTCAGCTGGAAAATAAAATACTCCTATCACCCTGTTGCCTCTTATTATTGGATCATTCAGTAAGGAGCTATTAATAAAATGCATGTCTGGGAAAAGTGTAGCTTAAAAATAAACTAAAATGCATGGGTTATGATGTACCTAATAAGAAAACAACAAAATCTTTAACTTTTATAAATAAGGATGCAAAGATGATAGAATCAGGTATTATGTGAATGGTTTTTGACTGAACCTAAGGTATATTGCTTAATCTTTTTAGCGAGCCACCAGAATACATTAGTCCTACCATCATTGTATGTTGAAGCCTTTTAATGTTGATATCCATTTGCCATTCTTATTTTCAGTGTTGTCCAGGACTTCCCAGTAACTAACTTCACCCTCAAATTGAAAATGAAATTACTGCAAAAGAGAAGCTTTTCTCCTTCCACCTCTGTAGTAATAAAACCACCAATAACCCCATTCCACAGCCAGCTGGCTCTTGTTATTGTCACATAGCTGAACTGGAACAAAACATTCTTTTGTACTAAAGATATGGAAAGATTTTAAAGAAAAGCTTAGTTTGACCAATGAATAAATAAAGGAGATAGCTTTCTCCTCTCCTCTCTCACTCTCTTTTTTATTTATTTTTTTTTCTTTTCCTAGGTCGTTTTCTTCTACTTTCATGTAAGACAGTAGGAGTTTATTTTTCCAGGGGAAGAATAGGACCAATCTTCCTTAGTGGAAGTGCAACAAAAATAAACTGGACTGAAAAAGGCAGCCATGTTCAGGAAGTATGTTTTTTGGGATTTGTTTCCAGTTTTTCCTTTTCTTCTGATTAACACTTAGAAGAGTATAACTCTCCAAAATCAAAATAAGAATGTAAGTATGGAGGAAACATTGCAAACGTAAAGCTAGAGTATGAAAGCCAAACACAGATAATTTCAGCTATTTTCTTAAAAAAACATAGAAAAAGGCATCAGAAAGAGTTCAGCTAAAAAAAAATATTCAATAGCACAAAATCCATTATTTGAAAGCACAGTAAGTCTAGTACAAAGTCTTACTAAATATTTGCAAATGGAGAAAAGAAGAACACACATTGTACATCCACACATTAAGACGGAAGCCTTAATCCCCAGGTTTACCAATGATAGGGTCCCTTAGTTATGTGTCTCACACAGGTGAGGTATATCTCTAGTCTCCATTATTTCAATGAAAATCTAATCAGAACAGTCAATAGATATTAGAGAGCAATTTGGTTGAGCTAACATAGATATCTCATCTAAGGTATTTCTGTAGTTTATGTTGGTAGCTCTATATTGACTGTCACTGGAGTGTGGACACGTAGACTAAAGTACATTTAGATGGAAAAATATAAGTGTTTTAATTTGGAATTGAATTTAATTTAATCTGCCATGGAATAATGACAACAGTAAAACACTCGTGGGAGAAATATATCATCATATACACATAAGACATTAAAACGTATAGTGAAATCGATTTTTCTAAAAAGAAAGATCTATATCTTGAAACAAAAAAAGCAATCAGTACAACCACATGAACCTTCTATATCCAGCATTACAACCTCCAGGATGCCACTAGTCTTTCCTAGAGACTGAAGCAAGACTGATGGGCCTATAATTTCCTGGATCCTCCTTTAAGCTCTTCTTGTAGATGATGGTGATGTTCTCCGCATTCTAGTCTTCTCGAATGTCCGCTGATATCCATGACTACTCAGATTATAGAGAACAGTCTCAAAACAATATCTGCTAGTTCTCCTAAGACTCTTGTGTGGATAGCGTCAGGATCCATCAATTTGTAGGCACCGAGCTCCTGTAGTAGTTTGCATATGAATTCTTAATTCGCTAACAATGAGTCTGTGTTTGCATCAACCTGTATTTTTGGTCCCACAGCCCGGAGCCCAGTAGTGCTAGTAAAGACAAAGGTGAAGGAAATGTTGAGAACCTCTGCCTTTTCAGTTTTGTTGGGAACTAATTCAACCCTCCTCTTTAACAGCAGGCCAGTATTTCCTTTCTGTTTCTGCTTGTTTATGTACCTGAAGAACCCTTTCTTGTAGTATTTTACATCTCTGGCCAATTTCAATTTGAGCTGAGCTTTTGCTTTTCTAACTGCATCTCTGCATGTCTTGGCAATGCCCTTGTAGTTCTCAACGGGTATCCATCCTCTTTTCAGTCTCCAGTGTGCTTCTCTTTTGGCTTTGCAGATCTGCAAAACATTTAAAGGAAACACCACATCAGAGTGCTCTGTAACTCAGTGCCAGGACATTGTTATGAAGTAGAAAAAAGTGTGTTTTAAGGGCCTTCAAGACAACAGATTGAAACATAAGTTTCTGAAAACACTGGTAAAGATTTTGATTTTTGAGTGAATGACAAAAATTGGGACATTACATATGTAAGATTTTATGTAATGAAAACAAATTAAAAATTATCAGAGTGGTAGAAGAACACTTCGATTTTTAATCAGTATATGAAGAATGGGAGAAATATTTGAGGAATTGAAGAATCACAGAATAGTTGAGGCTGGAAGCCTCTGGATGTCTTCTAGTCCAAGCAACCTGCTGATATTGGGGCCACCAAGTACAGTGGGTTCAGGTACGTATACGGATGGGTTTTGAATATCTCCACTGTTTGAGATATTAATCTTCATGGTCCACAACCTCTTTGGACAAACTTGTTCCAGAGTTCAAGGGAAAATCTTTTAAACTATTCTGCTTTAAAAACAAAAGACCAACAAAAGACTCTTCTTGTTTAGTGGAGCTCTCTGTGAATGTAATGATAGCTCGAGTCTCTGTCTAGCATGTTAGTCAAAAGACCATCCTTAGAAATAATTAGGTACTTTTTTAGTGTGTACTAAAAATTTCAGTGCTAGCATCACTGTACAACTTACTAAGGAAATCTAAAATTTGGGATGCATGTTTAGGACATCTGGATATATAATTTCAAAATACACTGAAGACCTTAAAATGGAGATATATGGATTCACTTAAAGCACTTTTACTTGTCACAAATCTAGCAATGTATATCTATCTAGGCTTCACCAGTATCTAGGGATGAGAGACAAACACTCTAATCATTCTATCATGTATATCCCAGATAGTTGTCTTAATTGACTATACAGGCATCCTAAATACCTAATACTTTTAAAGGCTAATGTTAACTGAAATTATTCATGTTCTGAAATTAAACTGGATATGTAAAATGGGTGAAAACATGAATTGTTAGAAATAAATGGATTTGAGCCTGATCCAAAGTCACTAAAAAAATTAGTCCTTTTATTGACTTCAAATTATTTCAACATACCTTAAACATATCCACTTAGAGAAAGGTGATGGCTCAGTGCTATTAGAGTGTAGCATATTTTATTTTATTTTAAAAATACCTCTGATAACTGAAGAGAGTAGGATGTTAGGTTCCTATTGCCTTCACATGCTACAGATTTTTGTAAGAAAAAAAGTCTATCTATCCTTCTTCTGGTATGCAATTACTGTGTTGTATGTTCCTTTTTCTCACACCATAAAATAAAAAAAAAATTAATGTTGGCATTAGACAGTTTTCCATAACAATGATTACATTAGTAAAAGCTCTGCTGTTTTTGGTAGTTATTGTGGAATCAGCTTTTAATTCGGAGGATATACAAGTATTTGAATAAAGACACAAAAACTTAGTGTTTATCAGAGAAAACCAAGTATAAAATGTGCACATTTGGACTTTGATGGCTTTCTTTAAGACATTACAAAAATACTGGAATTATCAAATATTAAATTTAAAACAACTATCCGTATTACATTTGAAAGATAGCTGTTAAAAGACCTAAAAATCCTGATGTTCACTATATTTTGTTTTCATAAGATAAAAATTTAAAAAGAGACCTAATACCAACTCAGTTTTGTGCTTAAGAATAACCATAATCATTTGTAATGAGGTAACATTGAGGACTCTCTTCCTACTCTAGAGGATACTAGACAGAACAAGAATAACTCTTTATTATTTTATTGTTTCCGTCTGCAGTACTGAGAGAAGAGATTGAAAACAATAATAGTAAAGTTAGAACCAAATAACAGTCTAGCCTATTTCCTATTAAATTTATGCCTGATGCCTATTACGGGACCATATGACTCCTATGAAATAGAAAGGACATCAGTTAAAAAATTGTAATTTTTTTTTACAGGACACACCAGTGCAAAAAACAAACAAAAAAAATCTGATGACTAATATGACACTGACATCTAGGTCCCTCCATATTTCCCTGGTCTGGTATTCTAAGTCCAGAAGACTGCATTTCACTGCTTGATTGTACTGCTGATAGTGTACAATTGTGTGGAAACTCACTGGACCAGTTTCCAGGCATGGGTTATTTCAACTAGCAATAGATTGCAATACACAAATGAACAACTGTGTTGAATTTAAAATATTTTTTCTATAGAATATTTGCTGTATACTCTATCGCAGGTATGTTATGTTGGAAATTACATTTGTCATTTTTCACTTCAGCTGGATGGGCTCATTCTCTTTCTGAGTAGTTTTTATTTATGATTTTATAGTATTTTGGTTTTGCCAAAATGTCTTTAAACTTTCTTTACCCCATATTTATTTTCTCTCCCACCGAATTTCAAAAGACTCTATGGCTGTACATTAGAAAGTTCCTGCTATTTGTTATTTCAAAGATTTGATGACCTTTCAGTCAATTTTTAGTTCTTGAAGTTTTCATATTAAAACCCCAATGCATTAGATGTATCTTCATTCCTATAACAATTACTGGTTTTCAGCTCTTATTGTCTTTGGCAAAGAAATGTTTTGTAAACCCAAAAGAAAACTGACTGGGTTTTTCAGCTGAGCTATTGCTCAGCCATTTGCAGCATTATTCCTTTTCTCATTTTTCTTTGCAATGGGGGAACCTTTCTGGGGAACTATTTGGCCTCTGAATCTGTCAGAGTTCCAGATGTAAGGTGCTATTAGCATTCACTGGGACTGAAAACAGATGGGACATGTATGCAGCAATAAATGTAAGGAAAACGTATGAGTGTAATGACCAATGTATAAGCATCCTTATGAACTTGGTAGATGAAGCAGTTGTGCAGTCTTCTCAAGGTGGACTTTTGTCGGTGTGTTTAAAGAAATAGTAGTCAATGAAAATGTAAAGCAGGCAGCAATACCTCCTAACCAAATAAACTCATCATTAAACCTCTACAGGTTCCAGCTGTGGACAATTTCCAACTCATATTTTCTGAATTCAGAAAACATTTCTTTAGTCATGCCTTAAAGACCTGCACCAGTAACCGTCTTGGATTAGCACAGCTTGCATTGCAGATCATATCCTAAAGGGAATAGTGAATTCTTCTGGCGTAAAGCAGGGGTAATTAAACAACATGCAAAACAGAATTCTTACGTTTTCTTCCATTCAGTCTTCCAGATTTTATTCTGAAGGGATTCTTCAATATAAAATATTTTTCTTAGGAATGAACA